TCCTGCTGATAACCCAAGACAAACATTCCTTGTTTTAGGTTAGGATGACCTCTCCCTCCCCCTCTCCCCCGCCAAAAAAACCCTGGACTACAATACACTAGGGGAAATCTTATGCAAATTAACAGCAACAAGTTGAAAGAGACCTCGACGAAGTACATCCAGGTCAATTGCTTAATTTGTTGAAATGATAAACCATCTGTCCCAGATTGTCCCACAAAGGTACCTGCTGGATTAAGATCCTGCTATATGATGGAAAAAGACACCTGAGCTATACCCAGCTTGATTCTACACATCAAAGCAAATGGTTTAGAAGACACAGACAAAAGTTGGGAAACGCCATGCTGCTGGGAAAACACACAACTAAACTCCATGCCCCTCTCCCACAAGGGAACCTACTCAACTGAAACGCCCAGGCTACAGTCGAAGAGATTAATGATGCTAGTTTTTCTACATTCCATTACACACACTGTGGTCAAGACTGGTAGGGCCCAGAAAAGTTTAGATTGGCTTGAAAGGGTTGAGCTTTGCCCCATCAAGATCATCCCAGGGGTCCCGGCAGGCAACAGCACTTATGCATTTGGCAGTAGATGATACCTCTAAAGTTTCTTCTGAGAATTGAGTAGCATCGGGAACCAAGCCAATTAGGAGAGGTGACATTGCCTAGTGGTTAGAGCACATAACAGGGCATTGGGACTCCTAAATTCTGTTCCTGGCTCTTCAACTGTGTGGCACTCAGTAAGTCACTTAGGCCTGGTCTAAACTTGAAAGTTTTGTCAGCATACCTACATCCGTTGGGTGTGAAAAATCAGCTATGCTGACAAAAGCCATAATGTAGACACAGTTATACCAGCAAAAAACAGGTTTAGTTTATTTCACTCAGGGAACTGCTACAGGCAGTATCTCCCCAAGGAGGATTTCCCAGTACAGCTATACTGGCAAACCCTTTGAAGCACAAACAAGGCCTTAGGCCTTTCGAAATGCAGTCATCATGAAGAGGTTCCTTCATTTGGAAGGAAGGTGCTAGACCATATTAATCCTTCTTCTAGCCAACAGGACTGTATCCCGGGACAATCCCAAAATCTGTGTGGGGAGACCCACATCTTCAGCCCCTGTCTGTTTCGTCAAGGCCTGCGGACGGTTATCTACATGGGGACCAGTGTGAACAAAATATAATTTTCTGTTGAATCAGCCTTAAACATAGTAGAGTTTTTAATGTTTTGCAAAGCACTTCCCCTGTTGGCTAGGGTGGGTTCAAGGATAAACACAAACCTTTGTTTCAGGGCTGGAACAGGCAATCTAAATTAGGGAGGGTCTAATTCCTAGCTGACGGAAACCGCAATGTTGCTCTCCTTTTTCCTCCCTGCCCCCTTTCCATTCCTTGCCTTATTTGTTTTTGGTCCTTTTTTGTTTGTTAGTTCTCCCCTTTTTGGGGGTGGGGGAAATCAAAATATAAACACATAAACAAATAAATAAATCTGTGATATAGAAGTACAAAGCAGTAGTGCAAACGACCTACTTATCTATAATTAACTCACAAGTAAGATTTTAGCAGGTGGGAAATTAAACCCAAGCTAGAGTGACTTATACTTCAGATCAAGTCCAAACACTGTGATGTTCATGTTCCATTTTATGTAGGTGCTGTGATCAGCTGATGTTAACTATACATTCATTTATATAGGCTCCAATTCAGCACAGCAGGTGAGTATACAATTACGTTCAGTCCTATTTAGCAAAGCACTTGAACAGCTGCTTAGCTTTAAGCATATGCTTCAGCCCCATCAAGGTTAATGGGGATAAGCACATGCTTAAGGGCTTTGCCGAACAGAGATGGATTGATGAATCGGGGCCTCATACCATATAAAGGGGAAAAAAATGCTCATCTCAAACTCTAGTTGTCCTTAACTATAATGTAAAAGCAAAAATCACCGAGACAACAAATCAGCAACTATTTCTAGTGTATACTATAGAAGCCAATTAGGTTATGCAGCAAAATACCCCATACTTTCTAATGATTTCAAGCACCATCCCAATCCTTCAAAAATCTCCGAGGAAAAGAAATGGGCCAGTCATGATTTTATAATAAACGGTTACTATTTTGGGATTTTAAACAAAATAATGATGCAGATAACAATAAGAGGTTTCCCCAAAACAAATGGATCTTTTAAAGGTCACAACTAGTGTATGGAAAGTTCACATATACTGATAATGATAAAATGAAGAGTAAAAAAGATATATACAGATACAGTCATATTCATTACTGTCAATCAATCTATTTGTAAAACAACCAATAGACAAAGGTCAGATCAGCAGCCAAAATATCAGTTTCCTATTGGCTAGGTGAAAAATTTTTTTTTGTAGCATTGAAAAAGAGAAAAAAATGGGTTGGTGAGATGTTCATGGCTGGCTAACTTAAGTCCATTTGCGCACCCATTTATACATTCAAATTGACAGTCTTGAACTACAAGAATGCTTACCATTCCCCACCCACGCTTTGGATACACCAAGTAGGACTCAAACCAGTTTGATTGTAACTTGCTTCTACCTGAATATTATACAAAAGTCACTTGCTTAGCCCCCGATTCAACAGAGCACTCTTTGTACTGAACTTTACACATGTGAGTAGTCCCACTAAAGTCAAGACTGTAGGTGCTGTACTCAGCTTTCCTAGCTACGCCTTTATTTAGGTTGTGTATAGACCAGAAAAGTACCCATTCCACACGCTAGGTGTCCTTGATAATCTAAAAGCTCAGCATACATGAAGACTAAACCAGCGGTTGTCATGACTATATATAAAAATTGAGGTCTACCATCTTAACTCTGAAATAAAAAAAAACCTGCCACAGAAAACTTCCACATAGCTAGCAAAACATCATTGTCCAGACAAGCCCAGTGCATCTGAAACGTGTAAGTATGCATAAACATGGACTTATGGAAAACAAATCCCGTCAAACTAACTTGATATCTTTTTCTGATGAGATTACAAGTTTGGTTGATAAAGGTAATAGTGTTGATATAATATATTTAAACTCCTGCAAGGCATAGGACTTGGTGCCACACAACGTTTTGATTAAAAAGCTAGAAAAATATAATATTAATATGGTGCCCATTAAATGGATGGAAAGCAGATGAATAAATAGGTCTCAAAATGTAGTTATAAATGGGGAACCATCATTGAACAGATGCATTTCTAGTGGGATCCAACAGGGATCTGGTCTTGGCCCTATGCTATTTAGCATTTTTAAAATCGTTGCTGATAAAGTTTGAGATGACATAAAAATTGGGGGAGTGGTAAATAATGAAGGGGACAGGGTGATCTGGATCGCTTGGTCAGCTGGCTGCAAGCAAACAATGTGCATTTTAATGCCACTGAATGTACACATATCATCGAGGAACAAAGAATGTTGGCCATACTTACAGGATGGGGGACTCTATCTCGGGAAGCAGTGACTATGATAAAGATTTGAGGGTTGTGGTGGACAATCAGCTGAATGTGAGCTCCCAGCATGACACTGTGGACAAAAGGGACGACTGCAAACTTTGGATGCATAAACAAGGGCATCTCGAGCAAGTGTAGAGAGGTCATTTTAGCACTGGTGCAACTACTGCTGCAATCCTGTGTCCAGTTCTGGTGCCCACAATTCAAGAAGAATGTTGACAAATTGGAGAGGGTTCAGAGAAGAGCCATGAGAATGATTAAAGAAAAGTGATAGACTCAAGAAGCTCAATCTATTTATCTTAACAAAGAGAAGGTTAAGGGGTGACTTGATTACAGTCTATCAAGTCTCCACATGGGGGACAAATACTTGATAACGGGCTCTTCAATCGAGCAGAGAACGGCAGAACATGACCCAGTGGCTGGAACCTAAAACTAGACAAATTCAGATTGGAAATAAGGTGTACATTTTTAAACACCGAGTAATGAACCACTGGAACAATTTACCAAGTGTCATGCTGGATTCTCCATTGCTGGAAATTTTAAAGATCAAGATTGCATGTTTTTCTAAAAAATAAGCCGTAGGATTGTGTGTGTGTGGAAGGTCTCTGGCTGTGTTCTACAGGAGGTCAGACTAGAGGATCACAGTGGTCCCATTTGGCCTTGGAATCTCTGAAATCTATGAAAGTAACAGACCAGGCTGTGTGTGACTCTAGGGCTGCTGTAGACTGGTCTGAACCTGTAAAGTCACTATTTCAAAATAATGTTTTAAAAGACTACATTAGATCCCAAACTAAGGAATATGCCAGACCTGTGGAATAGACGAAGAGGGACTGCCAGTAATGTATACAGGTGCACCGATAATTATTTGAAGGAGTATTTCCAGCATAACAAATCCCAAAGAGACAAGAAACAGGAAAAGACCGCAGGATATAATGTCTTTGAAAGAGGTTAAACCAGTGACATTGGCTATCAGCCGCATTGTGTTCCTTGCCTTAAAATGCTGACACTTACATGTTTGATGGTAACTACACTGCATGGGGGCACCTTTGCTTTCACATCAGATCTGCTGACATGAACAAGAGCTGATTCAGATGGGCATCCAAACATTAAAGTCCTTGCCTATTTCCATAAAATGATTGGCAGGATGCCTACTGTTAGTCAGGTGGTCGCAGCGCTGATAAATGGCATCTTGATAAAAAAAAACTTCGCTACACTTTTAGAAAAAATAAAGGCAGCATATTCTTTTTCTTTTTAAATTTACTCGATTTCTGACAGATGAGATGTCTCATTTCTAATGATCAGATCCATCTTTAGGATCCACTCCAAGAACAAGAGGGGGTTTTCCTTTTCAGCCCTAGCTCAGCTGAAACTGTCCTCAGATTTCTCTGGGAAAACTGTAGCCGTGGTTTGCAAGAAAATGACGCACAGTAAAACAAAACTGAAATTCAATATCAATTCTGAGACATACAGGCCTGAGCCACAAAGCCAGTTTCTGCCTGCAATTTAAATTTCAACAAATGCATATTTCTTAAAAAAAAAAAAAAAAATTGCACAGATCACTTACTGCTGATTTCCAGCTAATCCATCAGTAGATCACTGCCTGAAAAAAGAAAAAAAATCTCATTTCAAGCCCTGATAATATTTCCGTTCAGCTTTTGTAGCTTTTTAGGAACTTAATTCCAGGCATTTTTCTTAACATAAGGTTTAAAGTCCCCTTCAAAGATGAATTTTCTTTTACATCTGTATGGTATAATGGGAACTTTTTTCCCTCCTCCAGAGATCAAAATGCTGTTTCATTTCTCCCCCCGTCCTCCCACCCCTTGTTTTTTTTAAATCCTGCAAATATCTTGTGAGCTGGGAGGCCCAGGCAGGGCTCTCTACTGATGCTGATACTTTACACACATTCCAGCCTCAGGCTCTGCATGGATTAAAATTGTCGTGAAAACAGTAGTAGTAGTGATGACACTGACTGTTTATTATTCATTCCTTTACAAAGATGGAATGTCATCCCGTGACCTAGCAACAATGCTGGGAGGGTGAAATATGCACTCTGCTTGGCTTTCACTGGACATCAGGGCTACCCCTGGCCAAACCCACAACTACTATGGCCTTGCTCCTGTAGTGCCGGTAGGGGATGGAAGATTGTTGGGCTCCAGAAAAATGTGTCTACCACCATTGCAGTGTGTGGAAGTAAATCTCAAGCCCTCTTGAATGACCGCTCCTCCTGTCTCTATTTCATGGCCAGAAAATGGGGGTTGGTGCAGGCAGAGGAATGGGAGGGTGAGATTTTCAAAGATGCCCAAAGGATTTTAGGTGCCCAATTCCCCTTGAAATTATATGGCTTGGAGACTCTCTGCCATAGTATGTGGGAAGATACTTCAGCACGAACTGAGGTCCCTTCAAAGGCCTCG